TGGCGTGTTCGGTGTGACTGATCCCGACATTATGGGTGCCGAAATTCCCATCGCGTGCTTGGTGAGTCCATGCTTCTAGTGTTGTTTTTTTTTTTGTAAGTAGCCACCATTCACTCTGCTGGTTGGTCTATCTGATGCTCTGCATGCTAATGAGGTACTGCGTGTAAGCCATGTATGCTAATATTCTCTTTTCAGAAACTCTGATAAGACAAGAGAAAAAAAAGGGGGGAAGGGAGTGACTGCGTGCATGCAAATGAAAATCAATCGCGTTTCAAACGGAGTATCTGAAAAACTGCATTTAGCATGCAGCATTCGAAATATCAGCGCTTCTGAAGGAGACATCTGCGTCTTCTTTTGGTACTTACGTTAGGTAAACACACCCAGGCATGCTTAGACAACCTAAACTCAAACAAAAAGCTCAAAGACATGGACTGCAAGTGCGTGTAGCGGAGTTTGGACATCCGAAGCTCCCTTGAAGGAGAGAATCATCGGCTCCAGAATACACACACCCTGTTTACGGTTCTTTGGTCCCAAGCTTGTCTCTTTTCCTGACACATGCCTTTTTGTTTTGGTTAACACGACATGGCTGTGAGCGCTCTGTCCTTCAATAAGTCTACTATTTTGTGCTAGGGTTCCTCATATAAAATTCAGATTTATAGGTTCAGGTATCGCCAACTTCCCGAAGTTTGTGCGTTGAGCAAACACACGCGAAATCAACGTGATGCACACGTTTCGAGTTACAGCCCGATTGGACCAGTCCACGTGGCACCGCCTTAGTGAGTTCTCGTTTTTAAAAAACTGTTTTGGCACGAGTATGCCTAGAAAGGCGCTCATGTTTTATTTTGAGCGTAAAATGTTTAGAGGCTGCTCTTACTTTAAATCTCCGCAAATATAATTTTTACGCGGACTTTCAGTTCTCTGCTTTGGCCTTTAAAGGGTGGAAGAAAATTGAATCGCTATGAGTGTTGCGCTGAACAATGATCACAGGCTACAAGTTATTGCTGTAAGTAATTTGCCGCTTTGTGTGCGTTAAATACCAATCCTTATATGCCGTCACCACTTCATTCAATCTTAATAAGGCAAAGTACGCACAATTTGTCATCTGTGCGCTTCTAGTAACAGCCTCACTGAAATGTGACGCAGCCGTTATGCATGGCTATAGCCACATGTTTTGTCCAGCAAGTTTTCTCAATGTCATTGTATTTTCCCCGGTACGCCAACCTGCACTTGTGACGATGGTGGACTCCTCGCTGATGGGTAGCGTACGCGGCTGATGTAATCGGAATATTTCATGGCTATATGCGTGCCAAATGTGGAAATCGTGTGCGCTCATTATTCTTCATTTGACGTGTGTATGAAATTATAACTTGCTCGGTGAACATATACAGTGAAATACAATAAGAAAGACACACGTGTCTTCATTTCACTGTTGCGCCGTCACTATGCATCACCAAATCAGCCAATTTTCACTTCCTTCAATCTAACTTGCTGGTGCTTACCACACATTTCGGTAGCAGAAGGATCCTTTTCTGATTTGATTGAAACACACGAAAAACGGCAGTTCCTATTCACGCAAAAGGCCATGACTAAGACTGATAAGATTGAGAGACGTATCTAAAATTTTGGCCGTCCGGAGGGCACACGAGAGGCTGTCAGGTTGGTCCTGATGGTCCCCGATTGGGTCTATCCCTGTGACGCTGAGTTTACTATCTTTATTGTGGACCGTAGAAAGTTGTTTTGCGCACTCAACCAATCATTTTTTCTCATACTTGCTTGGTTAGGCAGAGCTTTCAAAAACACAAGCAATGGGTAGTGAAGTGCCAGTTCGATGTTTACTGTTAGTACATTCTCAGTTGTCTCTCGTGCAATTGCTCTTGGTCAGGTGCCTCCTTTGTGTTCCGTGTGACGTAGGCTGGTGATCAACAGGCATCGGCGTTCGGCGAGTGCTGCTTCCTGGCTGGAGACGTCAAGTGCACCATGGGCACGGGCACCTTCTTCAACGCCAACACGGCGGACCAGCCACACGCCTCCTCCGTCGGTGAGTAAGCAGCGATGCAGTGTACCTCATCAAGTGGCTATGTCACGCAGCATGAGCAGTACTACCGCACAAGTCTCCTTGCCCCAGAAAACCGAAAGAAAGGGCAAGGGAGATAGTTTGGCTGGCAAAATTAGGTTAGTTCTGCTAATACATTTCAAGCTTTCGGAAGATAATTAGCTCAATTCGGTGCAGTCTTTGCAATGCTCACAAAAGACATTTCCTCTGCAGATGAGGCCTGTATAACGTGTTGATTTGTTATCGCTACTGTTGCACGCACTGCTGACGAACAAAGGTGCCTGTATATTTGCTTGTCATGTTTGCTTGGCTTGTCATGATTGCTTGTTATGTCAACCGAAAATGATCTTGGCCAGGCATCCAAGGATTTTAGACGAGATATTCGTGCTGAACTTGGCTCTCTGAATGACACTTGTGAAGATGTTTCTACGCGCCTGTTTTCCAAATCGAGGCGCAGCCTGAATAGCTTCACGCAACACGCATCCCGGCACGAGAAGAACCTTGCTAGCGTGATTCGCAAAGTCGGTAGAACTTTTCTGCTGCGGTTTGTTGAGATTCGCGCCGTCAGCAGCCAGTTCCGTCCATAAGGTGCTCCATCTGCGAGAGGTGTAGTCAGATGCAGATTTTTGCAACGTGTTGAGCTGAAGCTAATTCTAGGTTATTTTTATAAAAACAATATTTTAAATTTTGTTACTTTATATTAACCCTGTTTTGAGCGCTACAAATGTTGTGCTAAGCCTGTGTTGACCGCTTAATTTTGAACGTGGTCTCTGAACATGATATTTATAAATGAACTGCACGCCAGGTTTCTAAAGTGCTACACACTTAAAATTTGTGACGAATGTAAGAAGATTCAAATTCAACTTTAGGAAGATGTGCAGCGTTTGGTTTCCTACATACTTTATTTATCTCTGCTCTGGCATGGACGTCCGCAGACGCTGTCGTTCTTGCTGGCATCTTCTCTCACGCTGGCTCAAACACGCGGAGCAGCTGCGGCACAACTCCGGCTTCTTCGAGACGCTGACGGCTTGTGATAGCCCCCCCCCCCACTAGTGAGGTAGCCTGTACGTGAAGGAGTGTACCTTATGAGCAGGTTCTAGGTTTTGCTATTGCGAAGTGCATTCGTCTGGTTTTCGCGAATGGCTTGTAGTCTTCGAGGACGGCGTCAGTGTCTAGGAAAGCTGACTTTATGCGGTCAATGGAAACACTGTTTTCACGTCCATTAAGCAGCAGAACGAAATGCTTTGGGCAACGCTTGACAACCTTAAAGGGTCCGTCTTAAGGTTTCAGTGGTCGTTCGATTGCGTCATGTCGTGCAAAGACGCGGGTGCAGTCGCGGAGCGCACGACTGACGAAACTTGTGTGTGAGTGTTGACGTGCAATAAAGGGGACACACCTCTCATGGCATTCCTGAGGCGACTGGCATAATCAGCTATGTCCAATAGTGATTTACAATAGTCATTGTAAAGCCACCTGCCAAGTTGAAACTTTGTGCTAATGATTGTTTGATTTATATGCCTGTAAGCTGTACTGATAATCAGCTTGAGTTTAAGAAGTGCCTTGAAGATTTGGAATTGTGGTGTCGCGAATTGGATATGCAAATTAACTTAAAAAACAACTTATGTGCACATTACCAATAAGAAAACCGTTCTCAAATTTCAGTACAGCATCGGGAGGAACACCCTCTGTAAAACAACATATTTTAAATGCTTAGGTGTGACAGTTACGAACAACTTAACTTGGCACTGTCATATTGAATCAGTTTGTTCTGAGTCGTTTAAAAAAACTTTGTTATCTTCGAGCGAAGTTGCATAAAACACCGAAACACGTTAAGCTGCTTGCATACCAAACATATATTAGACCTAGACTGGAGTACGCCTCCGTAGATTGGAGCCCTCACAAAAACACTTAGTTTCCAAGTTAGAACGTATTCACAGGCGTGCAGTACGGTTTGTGTGCTCTAGATATAGAAGGCGGGATTCAGTAACTGACATGCTCAATTCACGCAATTTACAATCACTGGAATATCGAAGTGAAAGACAAAAACAAAAACGAGTACATGCACTTTCCAGGAAAAGATAGCGCCAGATTGAATCATGATGCCCCCATTAAACCTTTTAAAGCTCGCACTGACATCTTTTGGTGGTCATTTTTTCGAGATGATATAAAACAGTGGAATCGTTTACCCCATCATGTTGTTAATAGTACCGATGTGCAATCTTTTGACAGAGAAATTGATGCTTATTTTGGTCATGGTTGAATTCAACTACTGCCAATTTTGGTTTCTTGTGTGCATTGCTATTTGAATGCCAGTTGTTTTGGTTTTCTGTATGTACTTACTATTGTACTCCTTCCCTGTTATGACCCTCAAGCGAGGATTGACAGTATTAATAAAAAAATGAATACCGGTGACGTTTCGGAAAACTTTCCAGGAAGCCTTAGGGTACTGCTAAATACGAGCTCAGCTGAAGAGCAGGACGCGTTCATACGTATCGTGCTGCGCAGGGCGAGGAGGACAAGTGATAGTCGCTCCTATCAGGGTATCAATGATTGGGAGGCCATGAGTGAAGCTTTGAATTGGCGGTGAAGTCGCTCAACCATGCCGTTCGAGATCGGGTGGTAGGCCGTCGTCTTGATGTGGTTGACACCAAGCATTCGGGACAAGTTGCGGAAGAGCGCGGAGTCAAGTTGACAACCACAATTCGTTGTGATGGTCTGGGGAACTGTGTAGCGGCTTATCCACACGGTGATGAGTCTCGGGCCACTGACTGTTGTGATGTCGGTGAGGGGTAGTGCCTCAGGCCACCAGGAGAACCGGTCTACACAAATTAGCAAATGCCGGCTCTTTTGCGATGAGGGCAAAGGGCCTACGATGTCCAGGTGCACATGACTGAGCCGCGAGTCAGGAGGTGTGAAGGTACCTAGTGGGCTGACCGTGTTGCGCTGGACTTTGGTTAGCTGGCACTTGAGACAAGCACGTGTCCAGTGGAGGATGTCGATGCTCATTCGAGGCCATAGATATTGCTCTGTGATGAGGTGCTGAGTCGCACGTATACCAGGGTGTGACAAGGAATGCAAGGCGTCGAAGACTCTGTGGCGAAATGGTGCTAGAACGTAAGGGCGACGACAACCGGTAGAGATGTCACAAACGAGGGAAATCTCGCAGCCTAGAAGTTGGACATCTTTAAACTTGAGGAAATTTTCTTTGAGTCGCAACGCGTGAAGCTCGCTGTCGTCCTGTTATGCAGTAGCCATGGCTGCAAAATCTATTGATGGGCGCTCATTCATAGTTGCGTTGATTTCTATTCCGGAAAGCGTGTTAGCAACGGGGTTGTCTTTGCCACTGATGTGCCGGATATCACTCGTAAACTCCGATATGTAGGCAAGCTGGTGGATCTCACGTGGGGTGTGGGCAGAGTTGGTAGCGGTCGATTGACACGTAAGCGGCTTGTGGTCGGTGAGGATATGGAACTGCCGACCTTCTAGAAAGTGTCAAAAGTGCTTGACAGCCAAATAGTCCACGAGCAGTTCACGACTGAATGTGCTATAACGACGCTCGGCTTGTGAGAGCTTCCGTAAGAAGAAAGCGATCGACTGCCAAACTCTGTCGACCAACTGCTGCAAGACTGCTCCTATGGTGGCATCCGAGGCGTCCACTGTCAGTGACATGATGGCGCCACTCTTTGTATGTTCGAAGAGCGTTGCCTTAGCCAGAGCTTGCTTGATGGAACTAAAACTGTTAAAGCTGTTTCTACATCGCTCGTCCAGGAGATGGAAGCGTTGGGCTTTGTTTGACTGGATAGAAGTGCATGGCGTGGTGGCCAAGTGGCAGTGCGATGAGGGATAAACTGCCAGTAATAGTTGGCAAGCCCAAGGAATTCGTGCAGTTTCTTCGTATTTGTTGGTCATGGAAACTACAATATAGCTTCAACGCCCGCGGCCGGTGGAGAGATCCCACGCGAATCCTTGTGATGGCCAAGAAAGTCCAGTGAGGAAACGCCGAACTCGCTCTTTGGTCCGTTGACGACTAGTCCATATTTGCGGAGTCGTGTGAAAACCTGACGCAGGGGAAGTTCGTGATCTTCTGCAGTCGTGCTGAAGAAAAGAATGTCGTCGATGTACGCGAAGCAGAAGTTCAAACCACGCAGTACCTGGTTCATAAATCGTTGAAAGGTTTGTGCGACGTTTCGTAGACCAAAGGGCATACGTGTGTATTCAAACATGCCAAAAGATGTTATTATTGCAGTCTTCAGTATGTCGGAAGACTCGACGGGTATTTGGTGGTATGCCTTTACCAATTCCATTTTGCTGAATACAGTGGAACCATGCAGCAATGCCGTGAAGTCCTGGATGTGCGGTATGGGATAGCGGTCCAGTACCATCACTTTGTTGTAAGCACGGTAGTCACCGCATGGTCTCCAGTCACCTGAGGGCTTAAAAACCATGTGTAGCGATGATGACAAGGTGCCGGAAAAGGGGCGGACGTATTCAAGTTCAAGCATGTGCTCGAATTTTCGGTGTGCAATCTGTAGCGGTCAGGAGCGAGACGACAAGCACGTGCAAACACTGGTGGTCCTACTGTCACTATGCGATGAGAGACATTGTGGCATATCGGGTCTTCAAGAGATGGAGCACGAAAGAGGTCGGAAAATTCTCGCAGAAGCGTAGACCATGGCGGGGAGACTTTGGCATGAGCTTGCACGAGACGCAAGGGTGGCAAATTTCATGTCACGCCCTGAACTATGAAGAGGGTCTCAGAATCCATAAGACGGCTATGTCGTAGGTCTACTATAAGCTTAAAGTGCCTAAGAAAATCCGCACAGATGATGGGTACATACACGTCGGCGATTAAGAAGATCCACCGAAAGGTGCGTCTCAGGCCGATGTCAAGCATAATAGACCTCTGTTTGTAGGTCTGTATGGTCGAACCATTGACCGCAGGGACAGGCGGCGAGGTCTGGGGTTGGCGGCGGTCCTCCAACGTA